TTCCCTTTCAGAAAACTCAATGTTTTCTTTTCTTTCTTTTTTTACCGAAAAACGTGAAGTGAGAAAGTGTGTACTCCTGTGATTTTCAGAAAGTAACTGTAATCTAAATACTGGACTTTAAAGTAGTAGTAGAAAGAAAGATGACTTTCTGTTACTGTCGTGAGGGAGACCTGTGGACTGCAGATGGAAAATACATTTAAAAATAAAATAAAAGAGTTTTCTGAAAACAAAATGGCAACACAACATATTATTTGCAGTTGAGGACATTTTCTATCTCTCCTCTTTTCTTTCTTTTCTCCTCTCCTCTCTCACCTCTCTTTCTCCTCTCTCTTCATTTTTCTCTCTCTCCCCTCCCCGCTCTCTCTCCTCTCTCTCTCTCTCTCTCTCCCCTCTCTTCCCTCTCTCTCCTCTCTCTCTCTCTCCCCTCTCTTCCCTCTCTCTCCTCTCTCTCTCTCTTTCTCTCTCTCTCTCTCTCTCCTCTCTTCTCCTCTCTCTCTTCTCCCCTCTTTCTCCTCTCCCTCTTCTCTCTCTCTCCTCTCTCTCTCTCCTCTGCTCTCTCTTAGGCTATATCCACACGAAGACAAAACGCTTATAATTTCAGAAACTTTTTCTGTAAACACGGAGTTAGCTCAGTAAATGTGTGCGTCCATATGAATGTAGTCAATACGCCTGAAAACGCTGTGAAACTATGCCAGACCTGTTGGTGGCGCTGTGACGCAATGACGGGATCAAGCCCAAACTTCCGTGGGCATGCGCGGAATTTTGTAAACAGACAACATGGCGAGTGGGCGAGCTGGTACTACATTAGTATGGACGGACGATGAGGTTGAACTGTTGCTTCGGGTCACACTGGATTACAAAACCAACAAGCTACATTGTTGTTGTCATTATTTTATGAGTGCGGCGCATGCGTGCTTTAACAAGAGGCGGGGCGATGACGCAAGCGTCTCAGATACATTGCGGAGAGGCAGTAACCACGGAGCGGCATATACGGAGTTTTGAAATCTTTCCACTCTGGGACCTAGTTTCAAAAATGTTCGTTTACACCCCCCCAAAACGCCGGCCTCGTATGGACGATACACTGGATTGATAAAGTATTTTTGCGTTTAGGCCTGAGCTTGACTTCGTGTGGACAGGGCCTAAATCTCTCTCTCTCTCTCCTCTGCTCTCTCTCCTGTCTCTCCCCGCTCTCTCCCCTCCACTCTTCTCTCTCCTCTCTCTCCCCTCTCTCTCCACTCTCCCTCCTCTCCTCTCTCTCCCTCCTCTCTCTCCTATGAACTAATAAGAACAGGATGACGTTATTATTTATAGATATATTGCTGCAACTTTTTCTACACCTTATTAATCAACAACACGATCTCACTCACTCCGAAGTCATATAAAAATTACAAATCCCATTGATAAAACCCAGTGTTAATCATAATAATATAACATTTGACATCTCTCACTTCTTCATAAAAAGTGAGACAGTATTATTTCGGCTGTAGCTGCAGACGCCTCACACTTCATCATTTATGCTCCGGCTCCAGGACCGAGTTGACTTTGGCGTCTCCTGATCCACAAACTCAGAGGGAAGAGAAAGAGAAACCCGTCTGTGTGTGTGTCCTGATGGGGACCCTTCAAGCTCAGTTGGTTTTTTAAGTCTGAAAAATCAATCTCAAAACGGTTACGGAGCCTTGATCTCTGAAAGAATCTTCACACGAGTGGAACGGATTTGTCAGCTGTCTCTGTCACTCACGGTTTATCACTGCGGAGGAGGTTTTTCTCTCTCTCTTTCTCTCTGTGGTCTCTCTGTGGTCTCTCTGGTCTCTTTGTGGTCTCCTTCTGGTCTCTTTGTGGTCTCTCTCTGGTCTCTGCTGAAGTGACCAGTCCTGCTCCACCCAGAGACGACTCCATCTTTGCTGCTGTGACCTGAAGGCCTGTGGCTGATTAATACTATTATTAGCTTTTTAGAATGATCAATTTTATTTTTGCTCCTACTGGACACCTGAATTTCTCCTACAGGGATCAATAAAGTATCACTCTTTCTGGTCTCTCTCTCTCTCTCTCTCTGGTCTCTGTTTCTGGTCTTTCTCTCTCTGGTCTCTCTTTGGTCTCTCTCTGGTCTCTCTCTGGTTTTTCTCTCTCTGGTCTCCCTCTGGTCTCTCTCTGTCTCTCTCTCTGTCTCTCTCTCTGGTCTCTCTTTGGTCTCTCTCTCACTCTCTGGTCTTTCTCTCTCTGGTCTCTCTCTGTCTCTCTCTCTGATCTCTCTTTGGTCTCTCTGGTCTCTCTGTTCTCTCTCTCTCTCGTAAGTCCTCAGAGATAACTACTGTTGTGATTCAGGGCTATACAAAAATACATTGATTTAAATTGAATTATTGGGAGTTTTATTGAGACTGTTACAGAGTATTTAGATTTCAAACGTACTAAATATATAATAAAAAGACAAAAATGAGGCGATATGTAGCAGAGAGAAATGTATTGTGTTAAAAGTCGACCATTCGAACAGTTTTGACCCTGAGAAGACCAGAAAGAGTGAGGACCGCGAGGAGCTGCCATCAGACACAGGAGGCGTCCAGACCGAGGCGGACACTGAATGTTCCACTGACCACCGAGTTATTTATGTGTTCAGACGTGGAAACTCAGCTCCATAAAAGTTTATTAGGAAGAAATATTTTGGTCTCCTCCGATTCTGTCCTTCCAAGAAATACTTTTAATTGAAACGGTGAAAGTATTTGCAAAACAACTCAACTCCCGTCTGATTAAAATTATACTGGTGTGACCCTAAAGCAGAAACAGAGACGTACAAAAATATATACATGTATATATATAACATTTTCTATTTCTTTATTTCTTGTAAACAAAACAAAAAGCAAACAACAGGTAACACACTAAAATAAAAAGGCTTTATGCGTAACACAAAATCCACACCATGACAACAATGGTGCGGTGGTTAGCACTTGTGCATCACAGCAAGGTCCTGGGTACAATTCCAGCTCCAGGCCTTTCTGTGTGGAGTTTGCATGTTCTCCCCGTGCCTGCGTAGGTTTCCACCGGGTGCTACGGTTTCTCCAATACCACTAAAAGCATGTACAATAGTTCAGGGTAAGTGAGTGTTTGTGACAACGGAGGCAAATAATGACAATATGGAGAGGTGTGTTTTAACAAATAAATACATTTCTAAAAAACAAGCCAGCCACGCCCCCTGTCGCCCAAGTTCTGAAAAACAGACAGGGTACGATTGAAATAGTCTGATGCTTGCAAAAATTGTAAAATGCACAGAATTGTTCTTCCAACTAAACTTCCATTTTTCATTTTCTGATGTTGTGCTTAAGGAAACAGGTGAGTGAAACCCGACAGTGTGAACTGGAGCTAAACATGATTGTTTTTGTTTTGACATTTCACTCATCTCAAATGTCATTCAAAGTTATTTGGAAAAAACGTATCCAGCACATTTGAATAATGATATATGTGAATAAACATTCCCTCTTTTTCTCTGTCTCTCTCCTGTCTTGTCTCTCTCTCTCTCTCATCCCTCATCTCTCTCTGTCTCTCTCATCCCTCATCTCTCTCTGTCTCTCTCTTCTCTCTCTGTCTGTCTGTCTCTCTCTATCTCTCTGTCTCTTTATCTTTGACTCTCTTTGTTTGTCTCTCTCTCTCTTTGTCTCAGTCTCTCTCCTGTCTTGCCTCTCTCTCTCGTCTCTATCTCTCTGTCTGTCTCTCTATCTCTCTCTGTCTTTGTCTCTCCGTCGCGCTGACTGTCTCTCTCTCTCTCTCTCTCTGTCTCTCTCTCTCCCTCTCTCTCCTTATCTCATCCTCCCCCCTCCCCATTTCTCTGTTTATGTATTATGGGAAAGTGTAAGAAATACCAGATTAAAACATGGAATTTAAATAAAAAGCCAACAACACAAAACCACACAGAGCCATTGTTGCATCAGGAGCAGATGACAATGTCCATAAACGTTGATAGATGTGAAGAAGAAAAGCCTGAAAAGTACAAAGCTCCAATTAGAGACCGTTCAGACTCACAGCAGCAGGGACCCAGGCACCCGGCGCTGGGACCATGTGGAAACTATAAAGACCTCTCAATAACAACTTTGATTCACAGTTATTTAAATGAAAGAGCAAAGGCACAGTCCTCACATGACCCTATCTGCTCCGTGCACACATACCAGGTGAAGACTTCAGGACACATGGTTTACAAACAGCGATAATCAACCACAAAGAACAAAAGTTAAAGATCTAGAAGTGCTTGACGAGTAGAACACTGCAAAAAGTGGTGAGAAATAAGTCAGAAATGGCTCAAATTCAGCAAAATGTCTCTTACAGTTTTTCTCTATTGCTTAAACACATTTCACGATACTGCCCTCCCTTTTCACAAAACTCTAAACACAAACCTCTTTTCTAAAGCTACGTACACACAACCTCACAGTCTCTTTTCAAAACCGACCCATCACACCAAAACAGTGACTCATATTCTCAAAAGCAAACTTTGACACCAAAATACCTCTCAAGGTCTGCAAAAATGTGAACACTACTGAGCATCATTAACCACTTCACCAAAAAAATTTAAAACACAATTTTCAGAATGTGAGACTGTTCTTTTTACAGTTTCACAACTGCCAAGATGCATTTGAGCAACACTTTTTTAATTCTCAAATGTTTTGGCCATAGATTTGTGCGAGAATAGTTACAAAAATCAGAAAATGCAGTTATATCACAACTCAATGCAAACATGAGTAACTCTATGGAGGATCCATGACACACAATAGATTCTACAGTACAGTAACAATTGAAAACACAATGTTTAGGGCAGTGCTTCTCAAATAGTGGGGGGGGGGGTGCAATGACAGGGGGGGGGGCAAATAGTGGGGGCGCCCCCCCTCCACATGCTCTGGTGCCACAGCGGACTCATTCCCATGTGACCGGCGCTGACAGGACAAGTGCGGATCTTTGGACAACCTGTGGACGCGATAAATACAGCGCTGTGAGAAATACAGCTGAACTATGTGAGCCTCTGGATGTGTCCCCGAGTCTCCTGTAGCTCCCTCCTTGACCTGCTCCTCTTCCTCCTTGACCTGCTCCTCACCCTCTTTGACCTGCTCCTCTCCATCCTTGACCTGCTCCTCACCCTCTTTGGCCTGCTCCTCTCCCTCTTTGACCTGCTCCTCACCCTCCTTGACCTGCTCCTCACCCTCTTTGACCTGCTCCTCTCCCTCTTTGACCTGCTCCTCACCCTCCTTGACCTGCTCCTCACCCTCTTTGACCTGCTCCTCTCCCTCCTGGGTCTGCACCTTTCCCTCCTTGGCCTACTCCTCTCCCTCCATAGCCAGCTCCTCTCCCTCTTTGACCTGCTCCTCTCCCTCCATAGCCTGCTCCTCTCCCTCTTTGACCTGCTCCTCTCCCTCCTCTGACACAAACTCCTCTTCTTGTCCCTTGATCAGCCATTTTTGTTTTGAACCTGCACTGACTTATAAAGTTGTGGTCACATCATTTGCAACAGGAGTGTTCAGTTCTGAGTGGTTGTGTTTTCTGAATGACACCAGGTATGTTCATTGTGTTCAGGTTTTGCTGACTGTGAGAGGCATTTTGCCTCACATGAGATTCACAATGCAAATTGGAGCAGAGATACATGCAAAATGTGTTTTAGCAAAAGCAAAATCTGTTTAGAGTTTTGAGAAAAAGGGCATGGGTTTTGTGAACAGTGTCTAAAGGAGAATTGTGTTTATGGTTGTGAGAAGTGGGGGGTGGTTTTAATAAATGTGTTTAGTCAACTGGTCATTTGGTTAGAGTACTTGCTTTTGTGTTGTTTCAATAGAGAAAAACTGTAATTTTACCACATCCTGACGGCCCTAACCCTTTCCCTGAAGAGAGAAATGTAGACTGTATTAATTCTTGGGTTTTCTAAGTTGTAGGAGCACCAATAACAATACTAGACTTATTTTTATGTTTTAGACCCTACTTTTATAATTACAAACCTTTACCAAATGGTTGAAATGCAGCTTGATGTAAAATAGTCTAAAACTAAGTGATAGAGATGCCCCAAAGAGAAAAATTTCATTTCCAAGCTTCAAGTATAGATTTAGTGACTCAAAAAGTGATTCACCAAATGGCTGAGAAAACCATTACTGTAAAGGCTAAATGGCTTTGTCCCATTGGTGAATGTTGTTTTAACACAGTCAGAATTAACTCAAATTAAGATTAAATTCAATCAATGTATTCTTGTACATCCCTTAATCACAACAGTCATTTTCTCAGAGGACTTCACAAAACTGTCAAATTCACATTTAGAAGAAGAAGAAGAAGGTCCTTTATTCGTCCCATAATGAGGAACTTTCAGTTTGATGCTTACACATACAGATATACACATCAAGTCAAGAAGCGAACATCACTTCCGCGCTCCTTATAGGCAAAGTGGGTTAAGTGTCTTGCCCAAGGATACAACGACAGCAGACATCAGTGGAGTCGGTGGAGAAGGTCCCATGGGGGGCTCGATGTCACAACCTTCGGGTTCAAAGGCCAATGCTCTACCAACTGAGCCACTGTCGCCCCTTCTGGACATTTATCAATATTTTTGTACACTGTTCATCTGCCATCTATATAGTAAAACAAGTATAAAGGAAGAATAAGAAAGGATTGATATGTTGAAAGGAGACTATTCAAAGCGTACATTGTTGGATTCCTGAGTTGATAAAAAACACATAGATAAAAACCAGTCGATTCAAGCCATTATTACCTCATACGTTGTCATTTTTTTGCGTGTAGTGAAGCCTCAGTGTGAGCTTTAGGATGGTAAATTTGGTTTGGGATCATTTTGGCAAAGTCCAAACAAACACTGCTGTATGGCTCTAGGACTGCGGCTGACGTCAAGAGGTACGAGGTTGCGTCAAGAGATTGCGCAGGTAAAAGAACTCTCCTTTAAATAAAGAATGAGAGATGACGGGTTTTGGGAAGTCCAGAATCATTCAACATTGGACATTTGATAATACTAGTTAAACCGGCGAGGAAACTGCCAGATAGAAACTGCCAAATTGCTATGAAAGAATCAGGGTTTGACTTTGGTGTCTAGAACCATGAAAGTTGGAAGTGCGTGTTGTGTGTGTTGTGTGGAGATCCCAGAGGCTGAGGCTGAGTCCAAGCACCAGAGAGTTCCCCAGTGCGTACTGCGCCACGACAGATGGCCACGTAAACTCTGGGATGTTATGGTCGACGTGGCCACAGTCTACATCGCCGTGATGGTTCCCTACGGGGTCAGCTTCATGAAGGACGGCCGCGCCAACAGACCGACTCTGCTGCTGGACATGTCTCTGGAGGTCTTCTTTGTGCTGGGTGAGGATTATAGTGCAAGATTCAGTAGAGTTATCTTAAAGGATTATACGAAACTGTGGAATTTGCCAACACAGATCAGAGAATTAAACTGTTCAAACACAAGAAATGCAATGATTGAAAAAACATATGGAGTCATTGGTTCATTCATAACGGGCAGAGACCAATGTCTATAAATGTTGATAATATCCATAAATGTTGTTGAATGTGGAGTGTCCTGGATCACCACTGTCCTCCTGCATTGGCAAAACTTAACAACAAAATAATCCTGAAAAAACCTCAGACGCACATACCAGATTCAGTTTTGTTTGTGTACATTTTGGTCGTTTAACATGTCGAGAATGTTTAAACACATTGGGGGATATTTGAAGGGGCGGGACATGCACAGATTGACAGAGAGATGAACCAATCAGAATACAGTGGACAATTCAATTTTGTTTAGCCCTCAATCACAACAGCAGTTATCTGGGAGGACAAGAGCTGCACAACAAGGAAAAACGGCTGTAGTCAAAAATAAATCATGGCGACAGGTACCGGGCTATTTCAGGTGAAGGACTTTTGTCAATTGTGTGATCAAAATCTTGAGTTATGGACAAAAATGTGTATGTGTGTGTGATTGTGTGTGTGGTTGAACTAAACCTTTCCTGCAATGGCTGGGATTGAAGCTAAATGTTAATTGATGCACATTATGAGTTCTGGAGGTGAAACAGAAATGTCAGATGTCTGGTTGCATTGACTTTCAGATAAGACTTAACGTGATGAAAAAGTTAATACAAAACCCATTTAGAGTCTAACCCCAGTTAGAGTGTTATTTAAACCCATTTGCGTTCCCAAACTCATCTTTTGTGTTTCTTACAGACATCATTGTGAACTTCAGGACTTCCTTCAGTTCGGGCGAGGAGGTGGTGAGCGACCCTGGAGCCATCGCCGTCCGGTACCTCAAGTCCTGGTTCGTCGTGGACCTCATCGCCGCGGTTCCTCTCGACCTCCTCCAGGTTTTCCACATCACTGTGGTGAGTCCAGCTGCAGACGCTCAGTGTGAAGGAGAACACAGCGATCCACCAAAGCAGCTATCAGGTTTTATAGATTGTAATGACAGTGTGACTAGTTGTTCAAAATGTGTTGGAAAGTCGTAGCTCCACATGGATGGTTATACTGCCCCTGTGGGTTTAGAAGACTTACTTTGAAAGAGAGAACGTCGATTTGACACGTTTCTGTCTGTAAAGAGCTGGCACGGGTCCAAACAACACGCAGAACTTTCACTAAAGCAGCATTTGGTCCCAGACTTGAACTCCAGTGACGTAAAGCTGGACTAACTCACTTTGTGATTTTGAAGCAGGGTTTCTAATGTGAGCGCTGGCCTCGCTCTTTCTGCTCTTTCTGCTCCCCTCCCCGCACTCACGCCCCCCACTACCCCCCGTCCCACTCAGTTTGTGCTCATGGGCTATTTTTTACGGAGCTTGTGTCTCACAATATGGATCGTACATTTGCACGTGGCGTGACCATAGAATGACAGAACCGGGAAGCGCGAAGGACGAGACTTTCTTTTGGATGGCTGTTTCTCTGAGTAAGCAGAAACCGGTAACAAAGACACGGGAAGTGTCAGGTTAGCCTCCGCCATGATGCTCATTCACCTCAGCTGTCTGTGCTAACCAGAGACCTGTAGATTATCACAAGAAAGTGGGGGCCAGTGGTCCGCTGTGATTGGTCACAATCTGTTCCCGAAAAAATTCTCTTCCGCGTTGCGCAAAAAACTCAATATAAAATAAAGTGACGTGCCAGCACAAACCAGCGCTACTTATTCTTCAAAAGGATGTATATCACAAAGCATTTCATGGATATGGATTGAATTTCCTTAATGAATACAAAAATAAAGTGGGGTAATCCAGCCTTGAGACCAAACCAACTCTTCCCACTGGTATTTCTCAAATGTCCACAATTCAAGACTTTTTCATCTTTAGACAATTGACCATTTTGTCATTTTTTATGCCCATACCTGCATTTGAAAGCCAGATCCCGTCAGACCTCTGAAGCTAAGCAGCGTGTGTGTGTGAATGGCTGGAGGTGGTGGGAGGGGCTGATGGCACAGACTGGTTGCCTCGCTTCTCCCAGTGCGCCCCAGGGCAGCTGTGGCTCGCATAACAGTTTATCACCACTGTGTATGGAGGATCTGACATGTGGAGTATCTTTGAGTGTCCAAAAAGCACCATATAAAACTGATGCATTATTATTATTATTATTTTCTTTTTAATTGTTTGGTGTGGGTTGCTCCCAGCTCGACATGGTCCACCTGCTGAAGATGCTGCGGCTGCTTCGCCTGATGAAGAAGCTGCAGAGGAACTGTCTCATCAGCAGCAGCAGCAGCAGCAGCAGCAGCAGCAGCAGCAGCAGCAGTAGTTTGGTCGTCTCCATCCTGGTGTTGGCCTTCGTGCTGGTCTCTCACTGGTCCGCCTGTGTCTGGTTCCAGATCGGCCTCTTTGACCTCAGATCCAAACACTGGCATGTGGGTGAGTGAGTGACAGTTGGATTGTAATAACAGTTTTTTATTTTTTTATTTTAGCACAACATTGGAGTTGTTCTGCGTTATGGAGTAGATGTTAAGACCAAGGAGGCGAACCCAAACGTTTTATGGGACACTCTCGAAAATGAGACTTAAATCCTAAATAAATCACATATCAAATCTCAAAGGGGCTGGATGGATGAATGTCTAACAGTGTCAAAGTTTAGATTTGTTTTCCTGTTTTATTTTGTAATTTGTGTTGTCTTTAGTTGTAGTGTTTCCTGATGACCTGCCCCGCCCTCATGTGTCTCACCTGTGTCTCGTCAGTCTTGTGTGCTCCTTCACTCGCTGGATTTTCATTTGTATTTTATTTAATTTAATTCATTATCTTTGCAGTTTTGCGTTATGGTTTATTTTCCTTTTGCCTCCAGGACAAACAGGTTTTTTTTTTTTGAGTAACAGCAGGTGATGACTGGTGTGGTGGCAGGAAACTGGCTCAAGAACCTGGAAAATGAAAACAAATAATAATTAGATATCCACTGTGATTTAGACTATGAGCACAACTGCACAATGTGATACAAAATAAAATAAAAATGGATTGGATTTGGTAAAATGTATCTACATTTGAGCACATTCTGACTCTGCCTTCAAACCAGATTTGCCAAAAGGTCAAAACAAAATAATCTTGTTTTAAAAAGATACAAGATATGTGTCCCCTGGAATGAGAAAATAAAGCAACAGTTCTTGAAATAAGACTAAATGGCTTTGTCCCGTTGGTGAATCTTGTTTTAACACAGACAGATTGTACCCAAATTAAGCTAAGGATTTAAAGGAACAGTACAGTATGTAAAAATCTGGCCAAAAGTGGTACTGCAGCCTCTCCCACTCTCCCTGACTCAGGTTGCCAGATATGCAGACGGATCCAGCTGGGACCATAACAGCTGAATAGACAAGAGTTTTGTCAACAGCAAATTTATAACCAACTCCTTTTTCACAAAGATAGAAATCCTAGTTGATGTTAATGATTTGAGAATCATAACGAGACCATTTTTAATTCTGCGACCACATGGTACTTTACCAGTGAGATTAGCTCGACGCGGTGAGTTTTGGCGCCCGGATCACAGACTTTCTGATTGGTGAAACGGAGGGAGGGACATCGAAATGAAAACAATGACAAGATTTAGGGGCTGTAAAACTAATTTAGAAATTCAAATATAGATGAACTACTGTGATCAGTTAAAGAAGAATTGGAAGTATTAATGTCTTTGGATAGATTAGGGCCCTTTAATGATGACTTGAGCATTTATTACCTCATATCTTATCATTTTTATCCTAGTGTATAATAAGATTCCCTGTGATAATCTTGCAGAGAACTGGTGAAATACCCAAGGCTTAAAAACTGCAGTGATGAGAGATGACATGCAGGAGTGAAGGCCAAACTCTTGCACATGTATTCCAATGTGGTTTTACTGCAAATGGCAAATAAACTGACTCTGAATCTGCTCTAACTTGGCTTTACAGCTGTGTTCTCTCTCTCTCTCTCTCCTCTTCAGGCTGGCTGGCTCAGACGGCCGTGCAGCTGGAGAGCCCATACTCCGCCAACAGGACGTCCGGGGGTCTGACGGTGGACGACGCCTACGTGGGGGCCCTTTACTTCGCCGTTAGCGCCATCACGACGGTGGGATTCGGGAACGTCAGCCCAAACACGAAGTCGGAGAAGTCTTTCACGACCTGTCTCATGCTGCTCGGAGGTAATGCACTGCGGCTGTATAGATTCTGATCGGGCAGTAAAACCACGTTGGAATACATGAAAGAGAGTCCCCTGTGTGCACCAGACAAGAACGTAAATACAACGAGATAAAAAGTACCAGAGAGAGGGACCAGAGAGAGAGAGGACAGAGAGAGATCAGAAAGAGAGACAAGAGAGAGACCAGAGAGAAAGGGGACAGAGAGAGATCAGAGAGAGAGACCAGAGAGAGGGAGACTAGAGAGAGAGACCAGAGTGAGGATAGTTAGAGAGACCAGAGAGAAAAACCAGAGAGAGAGACCAGAGAGAGACCAGAGAGAGAGAGACCAGAGAGAAAAACCAGAGAGAGAGACCAGAGAGAGACCAGAGAGAGACCAGAGAGAGACTAGGGAGAGAATCAGAGAGAGAGACCAGTGAATCCAAGACAAATTTCCTTGAGATGCAAGCATGTCCTGATGTCTTGCATCTTAATGAACGATGTCTTCTGCCTGAGGGAAGAAGCTGGAACATATCTTTTCCAGAGCGGCTGTCTCTATTCTCTCTCTCTCTAATCTCTCTTGCTGGTATCTCTTTGTCTCTCTGTTCTTTCTCTTTCTCTGATCTTTCTTGCAAGTCTCTCTCTGGTCTGATGAAAGGTCATTAAAGTGCTTTGTTCAGACTGATATCATCTTGCGGAAAGAAGCGGTTATATCCAGATGTCCTGCCTTTTAGCAAACCATATCTTCTGCCAGAGGGAAGAAGCTGGAACATAGCTTTTCCAGGGGCCAGAAGAGTCATTGATTATTGTTAGAGCTCAGTTTAAGAGTCTGGATTGATAAAGAACCTCCAGAACAGGCCTAAATAAAGACCAAACCAAGACTGAACCAGGTCTAAACCAGGACTAAACCAGTCACAGTCCTCCACACCTCTTCACACCAAGGTTCTGCTATAATCATGGATCACAAATAAATAATCAGGAGTTTTTGTGTCTTCTGCAGCGGTCATGCACGCGCTCATCCTGGCGAACGTCTCTGCCGTCGTCTACCGCCTCCATTCTCGTCTCTCGGAGTCTCGCGCTCGCACAAACGAGCTGAGGCGCTTCCTCCGTGAGCATGACGTTCCGGAAGACCTCCAGGCTCGTGTTTGGGCTCACGCAGAAAACCCACGGCCGTCTGGTACAATCAAGGAAAAACTGGTGAGATGGGATTTTTGACTTCATTATAAACCGGGGGTGTCCAAACTATAAAGACTACTTCATATCCAGCCAACTTCAGCTCTACCAACGTAGACATGTTGTACCTCGTAGTTTCCCTCTGGTCTATGGTTATGTTCATTCTCTCAATTATCTCTCTCTGGTCCCCCTTTCTGGTCTCTAGCTCTGGTCTCTCTCTCTCTGCTCTCTCTGGTCTCTCTCTAGTCTCTCTCACTGATCTGTCTGGTGTCTTTCACTGGTCTCTCTCTCTCTCTCTCTCTCTCTTTCCTTTCTCTCTCTGGTCCCTCTCTCTCTGTTCTCTCTCTCTCTAGTCTGTCTTTCTGGTCTCTCTGTTCTCTCTCTTTGGTCTCTCTCTATGTTCTCTTTCTCACTGGTCTCTCTCTGTCCTGCGCCTATGGTCTCTCACACAGGCCTCTATCTCTCCGCTCTCCCTGGTCTCTCTCTCTATCTCCCACTGGTCTCTCTCTCTCTGGTCTCTGTCTAGTCTCTCTCTCTCAGTGATCTCTTTTACTGGTCTCTCTGCTCTCTCTCTCTGGTCTCTATCTCTGGCGGGGTGAGTAAACGTTGATCATTCAGCCAACTTCAGCCCCGCCAAATATGAACCAATACAGACTTGCCATACCTCATTTTAAAGCTCTACAATCCAGCCTGTCAAATCTAAAGTAGCTCTCTTAGACTTGGACCCGGCTCTGATCCAAACCTGCTCCGCTGTAGTTTCAGGATTTCCCGGAGGACATTTACGCCGACGTCCACGTGCATCTGTTCCGGAGTCTCCTGCAGCGGCCCCTGTTTCGGTCTGGGGGCCCCGCGGTGCTGAGAGAGCTGGCCCCTCACGTCCGCTGCTGGTCCTGCAGACACGGAGAGACCATCGTCAGTAAAGACCAGGTGGTTCAGGCTCTCCACCTGGTCCTCTCCGGGGGACTTCAAGTACAGTCCAGGATTCTAGGTCTGTCCCGAGACTACGGCATGATGGGAACAAATCTGCTTCATGCTGTGAATGTTAATATCACTGATACAACTTTTGAATGGATGTTAGAATGTGGGATATGGGACCATGTGTGTCCACCGCCACTTTACTTTGTCACTTTATTTCGTCCCTTTGGTCACTTTCAGCCCATACCCTCGTGCTGCTAACATGCAGAGTATTTACGTCAATGTGAATATTGGATCCAATATTTAGATCCCATTTGAGCAAATGACTTATTACCCTAACGTTCTGTCCCGAGAGTGTATTAAAGATTTATCTACAGACATGTACATCAGAAGTGTGTCCAAGTCAGACTCGACTTTATACTCGACTTGTTGGCTTTTGAGTTGGACTCGACTCGGGACTTGCCTGTCTTGACTCGAGACTTGAGGGCATTGAATTGAGACTAACTTTGCAGTGGGAATGAGTCCCAACCCTCTTGAACTCACTCTCACTGCCCATTAGAAATTCTGACACACTACCAAACTCTAAATCAGTACCCAAAACCCATCCTTTCAAACAAGCTTTTCCGTAAACCCCCTTTTTTTAATTGTATTTTATTCCCCATGTGAAGCGTCTCTGAGTGTCCAAATAAGCGCTATACAAGTTTGATGTATTATTATTATTAACTTGTGACTTGTCAAACAGTGATTTTGTCCCCACACATGTAAATATTTGTTGCACCAGAGAATGCAGTACTTTACACTTTCTATTTTAATTAAGCTAAAGATAATGATTATATTTTATTTTATAGAAGCAGATTTTTGCTATACTTAATATTAATTGATCTTGTGCTCTTTGCTCCTCATTCCTGCTGTTCTTTAACTGGTGATGCAACACTGACATTTCCCCACGGTGGGACTAATAAAGAATCTCTTGATGTTTTTTCAGTTCCTGGGAGCCTGATTGGAAGCAGTGTGTTGGTTGGTGAGGCCCCCACAGCCACAGTGAGGGTCCAGGCCGTGGGCGACTGCACCGTCCTCTCCCTGAGTCTGGACGGACTGCGGAGCGTGATGGAGCGTTACCCAGACTGGGCCCAGAGCCTCCGCGGAGACCTGCCCCAGAACCTGGACTTAGACCTGAGCCAAACCCAGGTAATGACAGAGGGACTGGACTGGGATGGATCGTTCCCGGGGGCCCGCTGCTGTCGTCGCTCGTGTGGAGAGAATGGGAAACTTTCAGTACTGCGGCATTTTTATACTTTTCATTTTTTTATTTTTTGTTTCAGGACGAGTTCCAGCGTCTCACAACATCCAAATCTCCAGTTTGAACAAATGCGACGCCGCTTCTTTGTCTGAATTTGATCTGTTTTTGAAGTGAGAAAAAATAGATAGTTTTTGGCATAATTTATTTACATTTATAAAGTGACAAGAAACGTATGTATTTGTTTCTCAATTGTTGTTATTAACTCATTTGTTCTTATTAAAGTGATTTTTATTATCATTTATATTTTTCTATCTGCTACAGTTGTGTTTAATAAACTTTCAGAAAATGTCTTTGTTTTCACAGTTTGTCACTTATTTATTGAAGCAAAACTGTCATTTTATAGACAGGAGTATTTGTCTTCCTCCCTCAGCGAGCAGTGAACAGAACGAGAAATTCCTGGACCGATTCGTCTCTTTATAACATTGTATTAGATCAATATTCAAAAGATTTAAAAAGTCATGGAAGAATCTTAAACCATTGTTCTGGAAATATAATCCTAAAAACCATTGGCTCCATGTGTTTGTTGTTACAGTATTGTCCTGTTTCGAACTGTTTGATTCTCTGATCTGTCGTTGGTGAATCGACAACTTTTTAAAGTCCTTCGAGGCGACTGCTGTTGTGATTTAGGGAAACAGAAAAAAAACATGGAATTGGAGCAGGGCCACGCCTCGTTCTCCTCTCTCAGCCGATCACACCGAATTTGGCTAAATGTATCTTAATTTATCACATGCTTAAAACAAGATTTGCCAAAGGGACAAAGCAAAAGGATCTTGTTTTCAAAAGATAATGTCTCTCTTGGAATGAGGAAATCAAGCAACAGTTCTTGAAATAAGACTAAATAGATTTGTCCCATCAGAATGTGCTCAGATTAAGATAAAATAACAACATTCAAGCAATTATTACCTCATATTATATATTTCTTGCAGTGACACATGCAAATACAGATACATACATAAAGAGACCATCAATCAACAGTTTCTGCCATAGTTTCACCATGTGTCTATATTTACTATTTCAATATGTTTTACAAATGTATTTCTGTTCACAATTTGTCGAAATGGAGTGAGAAGAAAGTAAAAACTAATGTTAAAACAGCAAAACAATGAAACATAAAAAGCTATTAAAAAAAACATGGTATTTATGAATTGGTGACTTGAAGTGAACCATTTTCAGTGGACCAGGTGAGACCGAGCCTTAAACCATGTGTGTGTCAGAAGATCAATGCCTCTGAGGCTCTGCTCTCGCTGTTTCACAGGATTCTACTCAAATGTCAATAAGTCATTTTCTGCTACATTTACGTCGGCGTTTTGGGACTTTTCACTTTGTTCAAGAGAAAAACCCTTTATTGAAAATACTTGATGCGAATGAGAAGTTTTAAAAAACAAAGTATAACTAAGTTACAACAAGCTGAAGTTGGATGCAGAAGTGTGACTGAATGTTTAAGTATTTTAGTGTGAGAGTTTATTTTCTGTTTTGTGAAGTACTTTGAGTTTGTGCGATACAAATAAACTTGCCTTACTTATTTCAAAACTGGGTACAGATATATAGATTTGTTTGGGTGTTGGACAAAGCACACACAACCACAGACACACAAAAAACACACATTAAAAAAAACACACACCAATACACAAACCAAAACACACACACACACACAATCAAAAATACGCGCACTCACCCACACACAAACAAAAACACACACACAAACAACAACACACACACACAAACAAAACACACCAACACACAAACAAACACACTCACAAACAAAAACAGACACACACACACAATGATAGGAGGAAATGTTTTTTTTAGTTTTAAGAATTAGCTTCATGTCGTAGCATGGGACGGTTGTGAAACGCCGGCGTTCCAAACCAGGAAGTGTCTAAAGTAAAATATTGTGAATAAATCAGACCAAACGTGAGAAAGAACCAAATGAGTCACTCTTTGGCTCTTTGGGGCTGTCACCTTTAATGTCTGAAAAAGTTGATCTACAGATTATTGAAGCTCAAAAATACAAATGCACTTTACAAAAAAATGATAGCCTTAATTATAGTATTATTTTTAGCCCGGATCTAGTTACAGTTACAGTAAAATACATAATGCAGCAGTTTATTAGTTAGTAAAAAATAAAAATACGTGCATGCATGCTAAAGTAATACGTTACATTAGTTTTTGTGCTAAATTATAAGCAGAAACAGAGTGAGACATCTTCTCTATAAGTTTCCTGTCCGTTCAGAGTAAGCGCTCTTGTTTTTTGAAACGATCTTTGTTCCTCTCGGCACGTAATCTGAACGAGTCATTTAAATTATTGCTTTAGCATGTATGAACCATGGATCTATAATAATAACTGGATAGGGTATTACTAGCTTAGAGCTGTCCCACCCATGGGCACAGGGGGCGCCGTGGTACTGCAAACTAAATTCACGAGGGCTACCGAGAAAAAAGTCCCATAGAACTCAATGTAAACTAAAACAGCTCGTTCTCAGCTGACAGAGAACCTACAGCTTTCAGAAATGTCGGATTTTGTGGGGATTTTTCTGTCCCTTGTCATCCTGAACTTTTTTTCTTCTTAAATCCTTTGGTTTTCTTTAAATCCACACTTTACTGCCTCAAACTCTGCTCCTTTCCTTCCCGCTCTGACTCCGCTGCTGTTCTGATCAGCAGCTCTGATTGGTCAGAGCGCGGCCGAGCCCCTCTGTGCATGTGCGTGAGAGCCACACACGTGTATTTGGCATCATGGGAGCTTGTCCACTGCGCAGAACCAGGAGGACCAGACAATGCCCAAATATGGGCGAGTTCTGTTAATCTCCCGGTCTCCTTGAAGTCCCATGCGCTACTGAGCACAAGCCATTCATTTGAATAGGGCGCCATCTTGGATCACCGGGGCTTGGTATGAACTTATTGTAATTTTTTACTAACTTATAAACTATTGAATTCTGTCTTTTAACTTGAAGACATGGCAGTATGTTTTGCTTGCGCTCTCCATGTTTTGTCGTAATTATTAGATCTATTTTTTTACTGCTGCCAAAACGAGTAGCTCTCTGCCTCTTCCCTTATATAAAAGTAGCTCTCTGATTGAAAAAGGTTGGGGACCCCTGCTGTACAGACACACTTACAGACATAAATGGTCTTGCAATAAACTTGTCACAGTGAGAAATCAAAGACAGAGGCTGGAACGTTTCCGGATTTGGCTGCTTTTATACACAAAACATCTTTGTAATCTGTTGTTGCTGTTTGAGTCGGAATCTTCCTAGTAACCGTTAGCAACAATAGCATCAACACAGACCTTGTAAAACGTCTGCAAAACTTCCACGGGTACTTAAGGGTGAAATCCAGACTAAATGACGTCCCTCATTTAGTCTCTTCGGCGATGGATCCACCTGAGCCAAACTGCTGGTTATTGTTACAGAGACTGGAAAAGACTGGAAAAAGACCAGAAAAACTTCAGTAAAAGAAGTGAAGAATCCATTAGCACTAAATTACTGGATGTGGTAATCGTTAGCGCAGGTGTGAAAGCCCTCGCACCCTCAGACATTCTTATTGACATGCTCCAGGCGAGGTTTCTCCAATGTTTTTTTCCACAGAGAGCTACTTTTTCAGGACAAAAATGTCTGTCTATCCGTCTCTCTCTCTCTATGTCTCTCTCTCTCTCTGTCTGTCTCTCTCTCTCCCTCTTTGTCTCTGTCTGCTGTCTGTCTGTCTGTCTGTCTGAGAGAGAGACAGAGAAAAACAGGGAGAGAGACATAGAGAGAGACAAAGAAAAACAGAGAGAGAGGGACAGAGAGAGAGAGAGAGAGAGACCGAGAGAGAGAGACAGACAGACAGAGAGAGACAAACAGAGAGAGAGAGAGAGACAGAGAAAGAGACAGAGACATAAAGATAGACTTTGAGATTACCATAGACTCAAAAACATTGTGGATTCAAAAGATGTTAAAAATACTTGCATTTGTCAAGAATAGACTATTGAGACGCCCTCTTCAAGTCTTGCACCTCTTAAACTATCCCACTTTACACAGATATAACAGGCTCCAAATCAGGCCTGGATGGACTTTAAAATCTCTCTGGTTTATGGAGTCCTTCACACTCCGCCTCCTCCCTGTTTTTCTGATTAACTCAGATCCACTCAACCTTCTGCAGATCCTTCCACATTCTCCTCTGTTTACTTGCTTTGTCTGAGGATGATAAGACGTTAGCTGGGTGTTAGCATTCTCACTATGCCTGAAATAAATGAATCAATGAGAAAATAAATTAAATAATATTAATATAGTGAAATCACAGTAATCTTAAGGACAACGCTGTTTGTGGCTTTTCAAAGATACAGTTCACTTTTGGACAGAGAGAGATCCACAGACTGGCGCCTCTCAGAGAAATGACTGTTTTGGGCAAAAGTAGTTATTCTCATCGGCACCTGACAGTCTGCACTTGCATCCGAGAGTGGAGTCTGTACGGTGCCTTAACATATCACTGAATTACATGAATCATATCAAATGTATCCGACATTGAGCTGATTCAAAAGTCAATACAAACTAAAAGAAACTTAAGACTAACTTTTTTGGACTTTCTCTTCTTCAGATGTTTAATGTCTTTTCTTGATTTGTCTATTGCACTTTATCACATTGAGTTGTATAAAGTGTAATATAAATATATAGCACACATATATATACTACAATTTTATACTTGCTTCTTTATTATGCTAAAGCTAGAGGTTTGAATTTTATCGTAGTATAGAGTTATTGTTCTCTTATCTTGTGCTGTGTGCTCCTCATTCCTACTGTTCTGTAACTATTGATGCAACACTGAAATTCCCCCACTTTGGGACAAATAAAGAATGTCTTAATCTCAATATTAATACTAGAAACTTGCAATGGCTGAAGCCATTGCGATTGACTGCGGAACAGATCTAATGTGGAAATCTGCTAAAAAAAATCCTTGAAATCCTTTAAAAGGCCTTGAAACTGTTAAAATACTTGATAGATATTTGAAACTCCTGAAGTCCTTGAAATTGTTGAAACCTTTAAACTCCTGAAATCCTTGAAACTGTTGAAACATTGAAACTCCTGAAATCCTTGAAACTTTTTTTAAACCTGGAAACTGTTGAAAGTGTGGAAACTCCTGAAATCCTTGAACCTCCTGATATCCTTGAAACTGGTTAAATTCTTAAACAGTTGAAATCCTTGAAACTACTGAATGTATTGAAAGTGTCCTTGAAACTGAAAAATCCCCTCACCGCTGAAACAATTTGGTTCCTGTAACTAAGGAAACCTGGTCTGTGGTCATTATCTGGTGGTGGTCTGAGTCTTCGTTTGGGTCTTGGTCTGGTGGTATAATGCAACCTATTAGGTTGCATTATACTGGTTTACATGGAAAAATCCCTATTAGGTTGCATTATACTGGTTTACATGGAAAAATCCCTATTAGGTTGCATTATACTGGTTTACATGGAAAAATCCCTATTAAGTTGCATTATACTGGTTTACATGGAAAAATCTCTATTAAGTTGCATTATACTGGTTTACATGGAAAAATCCCTATTAGGTTGCATTATACTGGTTTACATGTACAAATCCCTATTAAGTTGCTTTATACTGGTTTACATGTAAAAACCCCTATTAGGTTACATTATAGTGGTTTACATGTAAAAATCCTTATTAAGTTGCATTATACTGGTTTACATGTAAAAACCCCTATTAAGTTCCATTATACTGGTTTACATGTAAAAACCCCTATTAAGTTCCATTATACTGGTTTACATGTAAAAACCCTATTAAGTTGCATTATACTGGTTTACATGGAAAAATCCCTATTAAGTTGCATAATACTGGTTTACATGGAAAAATCCCCATTAAGTTGCATTATACTGGTTTACATGAAAAAAACCCTATTAAGTTGCATTATACTGGTTTACAAGGAAAAATCCCTATTAAGTTGCATTATACTGGTTTACATGGAAAAATCCCTATTAAGTTGCATAATACTGGTTTACATGGAAAAATCCCCATTAAGTTGCATTATACTGGTTTACATGTAAAAAACCCTATTAAGTTGCATTATACTGGTTTACATGGAAAAATCCCTATTAAGTTGCATTGTACTGGTTTACATGGAAAAAACCCTATTAAGTTGCATTATACTGGTTTACATGGAAAAAACCCTATTAAGTTGCATTATACTGGTTTACATGGAAAAAACCCTATTAAGTTGCATTATACTGGTTTACATGTAAAAACCCCTATTAAGTTGCATTATACTGGTTTACATGGAAAAATCCCCATTAAGTTGCATTATACTGGTTTACATGAAAAAAAACCCTATTAAGTTGCATTATACTGGTTTACATGAAAAAACCCTATTAAGTTGCATTATACTGGTTTACATGGAAAAATCCCTATTAAGTTGCATAATACTGGTTTACATGGAAAAATCCCCATTAAGTTGCATTATACTGGTTTACATGTAAAAAACCCTATTAAGTTGCATTATACTGGTTTACATGGAAAAATCCCTATTAAGTTGCATTGTACTGGTTTACATGGAAAAAACCCTATTAAGTTGCATTATACTGGTTTACATGGAAAAAACCCTATTAAGTTGCATTATACTGGTTTACATGGAAAAAACCCTATTAAGTTGCATTATACTGGTTTACATGTAAAAACCCCTATTAAGTTGCATTATACTGGTTTACATGGAAAAATCCCCATTAAGTTGCATTATACTGGTTTACATGAAAAAAAACCCTATTAAGTTGCATTATACTGGTTTACATGAAAAAACCCTATTAAGTTGCATTATACTGGTTTACATGGAAAAATCCCTATTAAGTTGCATTATACTGGTTTACATGGAAAAATCCCTATTAGGTTGCATGATTACACTGAAGTCCTTGAAACTGCTGAAGTCCTTGAAACTGCTGAAGTCCTTGAAACTGCTGAAGTCCTTGAAACTGTTGAAGTCCTTGAAACTCTTGAAATCTTGAAACTGCTGAAATCCTTGAAACTGTTGAATCCTTGAAACTGTTGAATCATTGAAACTGTAGAAATGTCTGAAAGAGCTGAAGTCCTATTAAAATGCATGGGCCTATTAAAATGCATTGCAGAATTCTCAATGCAGATTTTTGTCCGATTGCGGAAAAACCGGAAATCGCTGAAGTCCCAAAAGTAATAGCAATAATCTCCCAAACATGTGGAACGTTTTGATGTATAACTTGTGGAAATTGTTGAAAATGTGAAAGCTGTGAAACGTGTCAAAAAAAATGACGGAATAAAGAAATACAAAACCAATGGTTGACTGCGGAAGGTTCCGCAGTCAATCAATAAATAAATGTTCTCTACTACTTCCGTCGCCATAGAATCAGGACTGAAAGAGGAAAAACATATACAGCATTGTGCTCCTACAAACTGGAACTTGTTTTTTTTGTTCTTTTTTAAAGCTTTATTTGATTTTGCAAGGTAACATACATTCAACAAACAAACAAACAAGAATATGTGTAGATACATATTTTAAGAGATACAGCAGATTGTGTGTGTGTGTGCGTGTGCGTGTGTGTGCGGGACATGTGCGGGACATCACATTGTGCAACATTATTATTAATATGTGGACTAAAAACAAAACAAAACGGACAGATAATAAGCATAGTACAAACTGGAACTTTAAACAAAAAACCATTTCACTATCAAGTTATTTATGAAAGACCTAGAAATGCAATCAGTGACTCTTGTTGTTTTTGTCAGTGCAGCTAACACAATATTACATGTTTTATAGCTGTAAGTTTTATATGAAATCTTTATGGGTCATGATGGATATAGCAGGAATCACTTGATGTTATTGGTTAAATAACGGTTAAAGGGGATAAAGTACTACTGGCGCCACAGCTGCCCTGGGGCACACTGACAGAAGTGAGGCAATCAGTATGTGCAATCACAACCACTCACACACCAGACTCATTCTAGGCAATGTGGTCGAAGTGTCTTGCCTAAGGACACAACAAAAATTTGGCACTTTACAGCTGCCCCATGGCACCTGGTGTTCCCAGAGGTCTCCCATCACAGTACTAACCAGGCTCTGCCCTGCTCAGCATCAGTTGTGAGACAGGATCTGGATTTCACATGCAGGTGGCGTCACACAACTTGGCCAAAAGCTGAGAAATGTCTATTTTTAGGTTTGTCCCCCACACTGATACTTTTTATGCACTTTTATCTATTGCCAGGTCGTCTGAGCAGAGACGCCCAGACCTCCCTCTTCACACACACTTTCTCCAGCTCATTCCTGAGGCGTTCCCAGACCAGCTGAGAGACATACAGTCCCTCCAACGTGTCCTGGGTCTTCCCCTGGTCTCCTCCTGGTGGGACGTGCCCAGACCACCTCCCCTGGTAGACATCTAGGAGACACAGATGCACAAACCGGCCTCAACTGGCTCCTCTCAACGTCTTTTTATCAGTATGCGTTTTTTATTTAATAATTATTTTTGGATTTACAGAATACAGACAGATGGCAAATAGAGGAGAGAAGTCCGAATCAAAATGATTTTTTATTGCCATATGACCAACAGGAAGTAACAAACTAGGAATTTGCTTTGGCTCTCGGTGCAAACAAGTTAAACAAGTCAAAATAGAATCCGCCATGCAAAAAATAGAGATAAAATAAAAAATACACATCAAATTTCTTTAAAAAACGACTATATACACGTGTGCAGGATCAATATTACATGTGACGAAGGAGGAAAGAAATAGTCTCACACTGAACACAGAAGTAACAGAGATGAGTTACCATGGCAATAAACAATAAACAAACACAAACAATAACAGGGGTTTGGGGTTTTCTCTGAGGCTGAGAGAGCACCATCATGAGAGGAATCAGGCTGTTTGGATCTTAGAATGGGACCAGGGGTATTTCAAATGCAACTACTAGATATTTAACCATGGGAAACTCAAGACCCTCATTAAGACCCAATCATTCTCCTGAAAATATTTTAACTTTATATTAGACCAGTCTTGTCATTTGTGCGTTAATAATGAGGGTCCCGCATGGCCCCCCTGGTATGATTCTCTGGAGCCGCCCCTGTGATACGTCAACCCGCGCGCGTCCTTTACGGTCACTGAATTCAAGAGACTTTATGTTTGTTTTTATTTCTATGGAAGAAGGAGCGAGCGCACGTGGCGGTATTTTATCAGCTGTACCAGAGAGAGGGAGAGAGAGAGAGAGAGAGAAACACAGAACAGAGATAGCGAGAGACGGAGAGCATACAACACCCATGATATCATAGAGAGAGAGAGAGAGTTAGTCAGAGAGAGAGCAAAGAGGGAGTGAGAGACAAAGAGAGGGAAAGCAGGGAGAGAGAGCGAGAGTCAGGGAGAGACAAATACAGAGAGAGCGCGCACACACAACGTCAGTGTGATATCGGAGAAAGAGAGACACACACAGAGAGAGCGAGAGAGAGAGAGAGAGAGAGAGAGAGAGAGAGAGAGAGAGACACACATAGAGAGAGATCAGGGCGCATGCAAACCGTAGTGTGATATCAGTGAGACACAGAGAGAGGAGGAGAGAGAGAGCTCACACACACAAACCCACAGTCCCCTTCACTTCAGCGGAGCGCTCTGAGCCCCGAGTCCAGAGTCGGAGCCGCGCGTCACGGTCACGATGCATCCAGAGCTGCCGCGGTCTTTACGCAGCGTCCTCCCCGGGCTCCACCTGCCCCTGAGCGGACAAACTACTTAACTTTCCCCGCGGATCTTTATCAGGATGTGTCCGGGCTGTAGTTTTTGTCTCGTTGTTGACGGAGGACGTATGGCTGAATAGAAGCGACAGCAACATGCGCCAGGGGAAAGTTGAGAGCCTTCGTTTCCTCCTATTTCTTGCGCACTTGACGCACTTGACGTACGCTGGTGCCAAAGGTAAGAGCGCGCTATGCATCGAGGGGTCTCCAACCTTTTTGAATGAGAGAGCTAATTTTGTATAATAGAAGAGCAGAGAGCTATATATATAAAAAATCTGTCTTAATTAAGAGAGAAGACACATGTGAAATATACTAATACTGTATGACCCTATGTTTAGACTCAACATGTCATGGGTTGAATTGTATATCCTGTAGGGAGCTACCTGGAAGGGGGTCCCAAGCTACAGGTTGGAGACCCCTGCTGTGGCGGTCTCTCTGTGGGAATAAATGTTTTTTTCACGTGAGAAAAAAAACAAAAAACAAAGGAACACACAGGGCTGAATACAAGACTAACATGACACAGGTGAGACACATGAGGACAGGGCATTAACCACACAGGAAGGCCCAATCCCAATACCCACACTGCACCCTACACACCTCTATGAAGTGTGCATTTGTTCGAAGTGCACACCAGGGTTGGAGTGCGCAGGTTACAAGTGTGCAAAAAAGGCGGAATTGGGACAGTGCACACTGAGTGCAGGTTACGTCATCGACTCGTCAGAGATGGTCATTTTCAGACCTAAACTTTATAAACATTAAAGGTAATTTTGTCTGACCCTTTGGGAAACAAAATTAATTGCTTCACACACGTTAAAATACATGTATATTAGTTGTTTTTAATAAGAGATAGCTGTATAATTTTAAGTTAAATGTGGGTAACTAACTATCTGGTCAGTTTTTATACATTCTAAGATTAGTGTACTAAGTGTAAAGTTTAAATTGAATGTTATATAAACGCTTGCTTTAAAAAGTAATTCAATTGTTAAAACACAATGTCCGTAATTCTTCATCAGACGTTTATGCTTCTTTCCAAGTAACAAAGCAAAACTTATTTACACACATACTGCATATATATTTCAGTATGTTTTGGTGTGTACCGCAAAGAATTATGGGCAATATCCTTCGCCAGAGTGCGCATAGATGCAGGCTACGGCGAAGTGTGGATCAGGGGCTCAAAGGGGGCGGGGCCAAAGCCCTCCCTGGAGAATTGGGACGCCCTACTACGCACTCGCACCCTCAAGGGACGGATCCCAGACGTCCCAAAAAACAAAACCAGGGAGGGAGGAGGGGACCGTAGGAAGGGCCGGACTTGAAGCCGGGGCCGGGACGTGAAGCTGCAGAGCTGGAGCAGGAATTGGAGCCGGTGTTCTGTCGAGTTGGTCTGCCCGTCGAGATGATCTCCCTCAGCTGTTAATGATGTAATGCAAACCTGCACCGCGCGTCTCACGGCAGCCAAAGCAATCCAAGATGGCGGACATCAAGTCCGCAAATTGCTTTAAAAGTTAAAATACGAACAAATTAAGACATGAATGTCACTTTTAATGCAATTTGAGGCGAGATGTTGATGGTTCTGTGTCGTGATATGTGTGTTTTAAGAGTAAGAGTTTCGTGTAAAGTTTGTAGCAGTCCACTGCTGTGAAACGACACTGCTAGTGTGCCCAAACACTATGGGCCTACGACAGTAAAATGACGTGTGCAGCAGTCAACTCAGGGACTGCTATCACACAGCCGCAGTGGACTGCTTAAAACAAACTTTACACAAAACTCTTACTCTTAAAACCCACATTTCAGAATGCGGAACCATCAACATCTCGCCTCAAATTACATTAAAAGTGACAGTTGTGTCTTAATTCCTTCGTATTTAACTTTTAAAGCAATTCGCGGACTCCATGTCCGCCATCTTGGATTGCTTCGGCTGCCGTGAGACGCGCAGGTTTGCATCACATCATTAACAGCTGAGGCAGATCATCTCGACGGGCAGACCAACTCGACAACACCGGGACTGGAGCAAAAAGGGTACAAAAACCAGAAGGCCCCCTGGAAGGAAGACTATCCAGCAGAGCCAGGCCAGGGACAAAAGCCTGCAACCACCCAGGACAGAGCAAAGTGTCCTGTAGTGGTCCAGGACACAGACAGAGAGGGCAGTGTCCAACTCCTGCAGCAACTCACAAGACCAGTCAGGGAAAAAAGACCAGAGGTGACAAAAATAAAAAACAAAAGTACACAGTCTGCTTGGGCCTTGTTTGGTTCCGTCATTCTGTCACATGGGAAAAATCAAAGGAGACCCAAAATGCAAAACTGCAAAAAAAAATGGATTTAATAAAAAGATAAAACAAATCCAAAAACACAAGAACCAGAACAAGAACTAAAACAGACAAGGATTGACAATGACGGAACAGGGAGTGAAGGAACACACAGGGCTGAATACAAGACTAACACGACACAGGTGAGACACATGAGGGCAGGGCAGGTAACCAGGAAGAGCAACCAAAGAAGACACTCTAACAAACTACGAAATAAAACGGGAAATAAACCTAAACCATGACAGTTTTAGGCTTGTCTTGAGATTTCTGTGGTTCTCAATCTGCAGGTCGCTGAATTTAAACTGTATTTAGATTGTGAACCTGCATCAACACATCATTTCAGAGATGGATTAGAAAACTTGACGATCTATTGATAAAAGCCAGATCTATTACTATCACTATTTTGGTTTCGAAATTAAATGTATTGGACAAAAATGCTACGATTACATTTTTATTGGGAGGTAAATGAAGACAATTCCTTTTACAGTTTTCTCAATTCGTCCAATGTTGCCGAAAGCAAGACTGTTTTGTGTTTTATAGAAATATATTGAGCAAGTATCCCCAAGAGTGTAGGTATTCTTTATTGTTTTTATAGATTACAAACCTGCAAAACACATACTTTCACGTGTATCAATGCAAAGAATGAGTGAATGCCTTTTTATTTACCTTTTTTTTTTTCTAGACAAGTAACAATACAGTATGTGGCTCTAAAAAGGGGTTGAAAGAAGCAGGAGGTTGCAAAATTATGATTAGATTCTAAATAACACAATACTTAACCCCATCAGGCAACATTACATTCAGATTGTGCGTACATCTATCCAATTCATTTTTGTATAGGCATAAATCACAACCGCAGTCGTCTCTCGTAGGACTTCTTGTTGATTCCTTACCAGCAGATGAGAGAATCAAACAGTTCAAACACAGAAAATGCAATAATAACAAACATATAGGAGCCATAAGCTGTACATAGGTCAAAATCACTGTCTGACTGCATTTTTTGTTGTTTAAAATATTATTCTATAAAATCAAAACAGACCATACATACTTAATCCCTCTTCTCTATGTGCAACCAGATATATTTTTTAAAAAGCATTACGAATTTGCATTTTTTTTGTTAATGAAAGTGTCAAAATGTGGTACGACCGTCCGTACATGAATCCAGTTCTGGACATTTGCTTAAAAAGTATCTAAATCTACTCAAATGTATCTGGCATTTTTTCTGAAGTGTTTTGTAACCTCATGTGAAATTACAGTGATCTTGTAATGACATTTTCCTCTTAACAGCCGAGGAAAATGTCAATTTGAGGAAATATCATGTGGTGCGACCATAAAAAAACTACATTTTTAAGCTTTTATTTTGAAATCTACCCAAAGACACACAGTTATATCAGAAACCACATTTGCAAAGGACCCACAGAAGAAGTTTCATCTAAAAGAAACAACAGCCTTTTAAATGGTTGGTAGAAAGTTTCCAAATCTGGATGTCATGTGTTATGACCTCAAAAAGATGATGATTTTTGATTTACTTTCACAAATTGATTATTTGATCTTAAATATAATTGTGACTCATCACGAGAAAAAAGCTTGATTTATTTAGGTGTCCAATGCTCTGCCTGTATATTTGGATTGAATATGAAAATGTCACATCACAGTTACCTCTTCATGAGTTGTAAACATGATTTATAGGACTTTATGTTTTAATATAATATTGATGATTTATATATGATAAAAGTAGTCAATTTTTATATTGTTTAAAATATATAATCATGCTTTTTCTTAATTTTTGTCATGAATTTCAGAGAAAGGGTTATTATTAAATCTTTGACATGCTCCAAATAATTTTTGAAAATTGGTTGTCAATATTATGCTCATTTTGCAATTATAACTACAGTATAAACATCAAAAAATAATTTAATCAGAAAAATATGAGAAAACAAGAAAACCTTATTTTAATCCAATCCCCTCCACGCATTCAGACACAAACTACGATAAAATACCAAAGAAAGAACCTACAATACCCTCCAACAAAACACATGACACACACACGCACACATAGGCACACACACACACACACAAATACATATAAATACACACAAATACAAAAAAAGCTAAATACATACACGCATACACATATTTGTATACATACAAAAATATAAACACACATAATTATATATACATCCAAATACAAACACACACATATATACATGTACAAAATACATACATAAACACACACACATATACAGTACATACATACAAAAATTCACACACACACACACACATATATATACATACAAAAATAGACATACACACATGCATACAAAAATACACATATACACACATATATATACATACAAAAATACACACACACACACACACATATACACACAAAAATACAAACACACACACATATATATACATATAAAAATAGACATACACACACACACATGCACACAAAAATACACATATACACACATATATATACATACAAAAATACACGCACACACACACACATATACACACAAAAATACAAACACACGCACACACACACACAATGGCAAGAGACAAAACACACACACCGAGGCAAAAAAATATATGTGAAAACTATAATGATGGAACCAAACTGTTTTGAGAGAGAGAGAAACTGGCTGTTTGTGGTTTGAAAGTTAGATACCCCAGCTTTAATTGACAACAGCATACATTTGTCTTTTGTCTGTTACATTACTATATATTGGTATTACATGACTATTGTCTCTGAGTGTTTTGAGTCCAACCATATATTTACCTAATTGGATTTTTATAATTACATAGACTCTTCGAAAGTACCTTACTGTAAATTCTGTGGCTGTATCGTTGCCGATGTTGTTTTACTGATAGA